CATTACTGTTTTGTAATAATATGTAATAAATATGTTTTGAATTTAATTGAAAAAATATTTGAGTTTACCTCGGTTATTTCAGAAAACATGGGTTCCGTCTTCTTATTTTCCATCACGCAACGCATTCTTGATGTTAAGACGATACGAATCTTTCTTCAGCTTATAGTTGCAAAATATGTAAAACGAATTTATTAGGGCTTATTTTCAATTCTCTATATTATTTCTATGATTAATTGTGTTTAGCACGCTTCGAAATTGATTTTTTCCCCTCATATGCCCTTTGATTCCTTTATAATTAAATCTAGTCATCAAAATCGATGGTTTACATTATGTTAGCTCTTCCTCGTTTTACCGTCTATTTTAAACAGATTGAACGTCTTCCAATCACCAAAATTAATTGATTTTTAGTCCTATTCAGATATAAGTTGTAGCAGACGTTCATGAGCAACATACACAAGAGCAGTCACAAAAACATGCTACAATGCAAAAAGTATTAAGTAATGCTGAACGCCAAAAACGATTTCGTGCTAAAAAAAGGAGCATTAAATAGTAGATCAACTCAAAGTAGCTTTCATCAACCACGAACTAGTGCTGAACGTCAAAGATTATCCAAAGCAAATAAGAAATTACGACTAAAAAATACAGAAACTCAAGAAGAAGAGTTTACACAAACCCAAGAAGAGCAATATGTACATCTCGTCAAAGAATGTTAAATGTTGCAAATAAAAGATATTTTACAATCAAAAGGAAATTAAATGAAATTTTACCTATTCCTGATCCATTTATAAATTATTAGACTAACACGAATATTAAAATTATAAAATAAAATTATAATTGCCATCATGCGTTAAACAAGTTCAATATTTTATGGTTTCTATTAGTTAATGAAGTTCTTGTTCTATTAGTTAATGAAGCTTCTGTCGAGCGTCCCGTGACGCACACCATTTTTTTTTATTTTGTGAAGAGTTTATCTTTCGCTTTTTGGGTGTAGCGGTTTTATCTGACTCGGTCCTTAGTTAGCAGCAATAGCAATATTCGTCGTCGAATAATGATGACAATTTTCACGCACCAAAAATTAGAGTTTAAAACTGTTTCAAAACATGTACTCACCTCAAAAATTTTTAAAGCATCTTCTCCAATAGAAGAGCAGTTGAAGATTCCAATGCCCAACTCTTTCACCTAAAATGCAATATTTCCGTTTTCACTTAAGATAGCATTTAGTATTTAATATACATATAGTTTTTAATGGGCATTCGCATAAGAAGAAAAATCAATTTTCTTTTTAGGTCAAATATCGATCGACGATTTGAGTCGCAGTCGAAAGGTGCTCTTAAAATGGCTTTTATAGTAAGAGTAAATATGTATCACTGTAATTTATCAGACTCACTTTAACGTTCATGAGAATGTGATTGTCATCGAAGGCAAATTACTAAGTAGGTCAAGCGATGAGTGAAGTTAATATTTAAAAAAGCTATTGAGAGGCATAATCATAATCACAATACATAATCATTGAGATCAACTGAAACCAATAAGCGTTTCTAGACGATGTGCGCCAAAACGGCTCAAACTGGAGTATTGAAGAAATATTCGGAAAGATAATCAGAATAGCTGAGACGCTACATATCTGAAATTAAATCTTAGTGGTCACCTGCGTTAGAGACCGCCAATCCATATTCGCACTGCCCACATAGAGATGCTTCTTATCGACGATCCACAGTTTGGTGTGCAAAACACCGCTGCCCAATAATTTGGCAAAATTGAGACTTCGCACTTGGGCCGCTTTCCGCTTGACTAGAAATTCGGTATCCACATTGGGATAGTTGCGTGATGGAGCGTTTTGGGCTATTCGGATGGTGACGCCACGATCAGTGCCCGCCTTTAAAAGAGCTTGAAATATTTTCTCACCCTGTAACCATCAGCATTAAATTATGCCACAAACCATCCGTTCCAAACCGCAGGTACCTTGATGGAAGACGGATCCGGGTAAACCTCGGATTGCCTCAACGTCCAGTACAAGGAAGCAATATCAATGGACTGTTGAGCATTATTTATTAGGTTCAGCCAAGTATCAAACGTAGAAGGATTGACTAGCGACGATTCATTAAAGATTAGGCCTTCGGGTATACTTTCCACTAACGTTAGGCTAGAACAATGCGAATGTTGCTCATTTTCACACACTGCCAAAAAGCATCTTACCTGCATGAATTGCACGCATTATTATCATGACTGTTGATCTGATCTAAGGCCCTTTCGGCTGCATGATCCAGCACGGGCAGTAAAACTACTAGGAAGATAAGGGTGCAGATGATCGTAATGGGAATGCAGGACGGTCGACACCATTTATTGTTTCCGCCCCATCTAAAAGAAAAAGTCTAGCAGCCAGTGGTTCAGCTTATTTCATTAGGTACTAAACATCGGTTTGCAAACGTTTTATTTCCGATATACAATTGTTAAGAAGGTGCTTGCAAAATGGACATATAGACTAGATAGGATAGA